TTTTTTAAGAGTGTTAGTATTTCTCTTCATTAACTTGAACTATTTTGAAACACCGAATAATTTTTAAAATATTAATTTTCCGTTTCTTATACAAATTATATAAACACATTTTAATACATAATGATGGATAAATGTATATTACTTTATACAGCAAGTAAGCGAAACACAAGTGATGTCTCAGAGTTGAGCATTATTTAGATAATTATATGGCACAATGATGTCACCTAAATATTTGTTTATTTACATCTTTAGTTCACTCCTCCACAGTCTGAAAAGCAATAACCTAAGAATCGCCGGAGAGTTCCAGCAGATGATTATGAATGTCCTAACATAAATGTATATTTACTGAAGTTTAATAACTCTAGATCCGATAATACAATTAAGCAATAACATATATATCGTCGAGTTTTTCTAAATACCATTGCGTAGCATTTTAGAAAAGAAAATTTGATGACTTTTCCTTGAAATTTCTTTGAAATCACAACATTATGCTCTTACAATTAGTGTGACAATTTTTGACCTATCGATACTGTTATGAAAAGACGTAACTGTATTTTAGTAACTTTTACAAGGACAAAATAACATTTTGTCTACATGTAAAAAATGTTTGACTTATCCGTGTTTATTTCGAGCCCTAGTTCTTTAATGACTTTCATTAACGTAGTCGTATTTAGTTTTATAGTTTCCGAGTTTTCGCTTAAAAGAACCAAATCATTCGCATAGCCAAGCACGGGTGTTGTCCCCACCTAGATCCAACCCTTTTTCGGTACGCATTACCTCCCTAATGGCATGTTCTAATGCTAAATTGAACAGAACATGCGGAAGGAAATCACCTTGTTTTAAACCCGAACAAATATCAAACTTTTTGAATGAATAATTACCGAGTGTTTCCATCAAGCACATCCTCACGAGATTTACAATTTTTTTTTTAATACCCTGCTCAATTAAAATAGTATACAGTTTCTCGCGGTCATTAGAACCGTAAGCCTTTTTGAAATCTATATACAGTTGGTCAACAACACGGTTGTACTCGAATATTTCTTCCTCTATTTTATTTTTTCAATATTTGCCGTTAAGAAAATATTTGATCGGTGGTCGAACGGTTCAGTCTAAATCCGCATTGGTAGTCTCCAATAACTTCCTCGGTGTATTTTATGATTCGACCTGTTAAGATTAAAGTGAATATTTTATAACATACCTCTTTACTCAGTTCTTCTATTAATGGTTCAGCACTATGGTACTCTGGTAAGGAAGACACAGATCATAATTTCTCGAATTTAAAATATTGTCAAAGTGTTTCTTAAACTTATTTAATATGTCTAGCGGATAGGTCAGAATATTGTTATTTCCATCCCTAATTCCTGATTTAACCTGCCCTGAACATTTACGAGATCTGTTTGTACCTTTGTAGATGACTCTTACGTTATTTTCGATTCTATTAGTTTCTATTTCTATTATTTTATTTTTAAGATATTCCTTTTTTATATTTTTGAACAATTTAGTAATTTTATTCTTTAAGGCTCGGAAGTACTCAAGTTTTTGTTTTCTTTAGGATAACTTTGAGCTTTTATTTTAGCGGATTTTCTTTTTTTCGCAATGTTTAAGCAATCTTCATCAAACCACGGATTGTTCTTTTTATCAGGACACATATTACCGAGCTTTTTAATATTATCCCTGATCCCTACCCATAATTTATCTGTATCATCACGGTCCTCCTTAGAAGGTATTAACACTTCTAACCTATTCTTAACTTCAAGCTCGAAATGAATTATAATTGATGAATTTTTTAATTTTCAAAATTAAAATTCTCGTTATCGAACCAGTTTTCTTTTCTCTTTTTTATATTATTTTTTGTCGAAGATTCACGATTGATAATTCATGATCTGACCCACATTATGTCCAGCGACAAGACCTATAAATTATGTAAATTATACTTTTTTGACACATATGTAGTATCAAGCAGTGATCGATTTGATTTCGTGTTTGCGAATCCGGTTATGTCCAAGTATGTTTGTGAATATCCTTATGTTTAAACGTAGTGCTTTTAAATATTAGGTTTTTCGAGATGGCAAAATTGATTAGCCAAATTCCATTATAATTACTATATTCGTGTAAGCTTTCTTTACTAATCGTCGGGAAATAAACTTCTTCTCTCCCCACCATTGCGTTTGCGTCACCTACAATTATTTTCATGGAGTTTCGAGGTAGTTTATCGTAAACCCATTCGAGTTTATCGTAAAATTCGCATTTGACTTCATCATCACAATTTTTCTTCGCTCGGACAATGTATTAGAGCGATTTTAAACCAACGTTCCTGAAATATGGCTACCGAATTTCTAACAATATAGAATTGCATGCCCCTCAAAGCGTATAGCAATCTATTCCTAATTAGAAACCTGGTACCTAAACAATGATTCCCGCTTCCTGCGTACCAAATAGTGTACTTTCCTTCCCTTATTAAGCCCTCTCCTGGCCAGCGAACCTCTTGCGGAGCCACGATATCCAGATTGTACCCATTAACCTTATTCGCGACCGATTTTAATCCACCTACTATATTCAAACTCCTTACGTTCGATGTACTTCTTCTCTCATTATCTCCTGTGTGCTGCTTAGCGTGGAGTAGCTCCCTCTTACCATCTTGTCCAATGGTCCCTTTCCTGTGCAAGCCTTCTTATCTTCGGCATGGTGCTTCCTATCGCTGTGCCAATTCTCTCAATCAAGTCTGCATACATTAGCCTTGGCCTGCCTTGAGTTCACCTTCCTCCCGGTCTTGCTTCTAGAAGCCACCTGGCCTTACGCTCATCTCCGATTCTGTTAACATGCCCGTACCACTTCAATTGTCTTTCTTCAATCGTCTCTAGGACGGATCTAACTCCTAGTTCATCACGCACTCTTCCATTCATTATTCGATCTCGCCTCGTATTTCCTAATATTTTATTTAGGAAAAACGAGGATTATTATAATCTTATTTCCGTAGATACAACATGGGTGGCATGGAGGTCCAAGAGTGTCCAGCTTTCCGATCCGTATATTAGCACTGCCAGAAAAACTGACTTAAACAGCAGAATCTTCGCTTCCATGCTCAACTCCTGCTTTCCAATGAGTGTCATGAATATTTGGTAGTATATTTCATTGACTTTTTGGACCCTATTCATGACCTCCTGGTCTATTCTTCCATCTTTGCCGATCATTGTTCCCAGATAGCAGTAGGTATCGGTTCGCTCAAGGGTCTCTACATTGCAAGTGATTCTAAGATCCTCGTTCCTTCGTCCAACACACATAACCTTGCTTTTACAGAGATCTGCATGCTTCTGAGTTGTAGTTCTTCTTGCCACTCATCCATAGTGACCTGAAGCGATACAGCAGTATCTGCAACCAATACCACATCATCTACGTACAAAAATGCCTGTGCCAACACTGGGGTCATATTTCAGTATCCTACTATTGCTCTGGATGCCCTCATTTTACAAAATTTCCAAATGGCATCCATGGAAATTATGAACAGTAGGGGGCTCAGGCTATCGCCTTGTTTCACGCCGGGACCGATTTTTATTTGTTTTGCTGTGAGGCGGGGCTGAAATTAATCCCGCGCTTCATCTGGCTGGCGCTAATAGCGTCTAATAGAACAATCGAATGCGTACCACCGGTGGTACGTGTCGCCCGATGAGACAATCTAGTGCGGGCCATCGGTGGTACACGCCGCCGTGAACGTGTTAACTCCCGTAAAGAAATGGAATAACCTGGACCCAGTGCCAGATAGCCTTATTATTTCCTTTGGGTCTTAGTAAACTGAATTGATTGCACTTACAAAATTTTGTGGGATTCTGCTATCTTCCAATGCATCCCATATTTCCTGTCTAGGAGCATGGTCGAAAGCCGCCAGTAAATCTAGAAAAGCTGGGTATACTGCTTTACCTCTATACCATGCCTTCTCTACAATCATTCTCAGGGAGAAGATATGATCCTGTGTATACCTACTGAGCCTAAAACCTGCCTGTTCCTCTTCGAGATCTGCTTTCACCAATTTCCATAGTATTTGTTCCAGGATCCTAGTTTATACTTTGTATATCACCGATGGCAGATATATGGGCGGTAATTATCGCATATACTTTGTCTTCCCTTCTTATGGATTAGGATAATGATGTTTTCCCATTCTATGGGTATCCTTTTGAGATCCCAAACATTTTGGAATACAGTTTGGAGACACTTGACAAGCTCATTTCTAACATATTTTATAAATTCGGGTGCAATCCCATCTGGCCCAACTGATTTTCCCTTCTTTACTTTAGCAATGGCTGCTTCGACTTCCTCCTCTTTTATGGTGTCATCCATATTGGGGAATTTCGATTCAGTTATTCTAAATCTTCTACAGCAATCTCGAAAAATTTTCCGCCTTTCTGAATTTTTAATTCTGAATTTTTCTTCTGAAGTATTTCCTTCAAACCTCCAGTATTCCCTTGTCTTCTGCCATGCTTCTCCTTTAAACTTCTCAAAGACTTTGCTTTTTTGTTCTTTAGTGCTCTTTTGATGTAATAGAATTTCCTTATATTGTATTCCACGTACCAATACCTAAATTCCTATGTTTTACTTGCGCCATGAATCCCCGAAAGCAGTCCCCACCCGGACACCTGAACGGGAGACTAGTTTACCTCCGGATAACGAGTGTTTTACCTCAGGGAGATCCATGGCTATTTATGGTGTAGGTCCATCGGACTTAGCCGGGAGGAACTTCCAAGGAATTTTCACCGACTATCCCCACATCCGCCACCCGTGGGACGTTCCCCATATGCAATAATGAGCACGAACGAGGTCATTAAACTGATCATGTGGTCTAAATCGGGAACATGATACCGTTTGAAGTATTGCTATTTGCAATGCATATTATTGCTTTTCCGTCATGTTTCTCCTTATTCAATATAGATAAAATAAATGTAGCGAAATACATGAAAATAGAGAAGTTGTTACTACATTTTGATAATGTAATTTAGTTAATTTTTTAGGATGTTCCTAACTGATCTCAGTGGTAACCCAAACAAAAAAAATGGCCATAACGAGTCCGTTCTGCATTGTGCTTGCACTCTTGGTGCACATAGAACGTATTCATCACAGGAACGACGAGCCAGTTGTGTCCAACTTCTTCTGCAATGGAGAGGCCCTCTTCTTAATAATGGAGAACGGGAAAAGGTGGACATCAACGCTCAAGATTATGTGAGTATTTTATCATACCATCTTACCAGGCTTAACAGTTTGATTTACATGACCGGTTTAATTTTTATGTATTTAACGTTAAAAAATAATACAAGTTGCCACACTCAAGGGAATTAGGTTTTAGGACTGTAAGTTTCCATGTATTCACAATAAATGTTTACTAATATAAATAATTAATAATAATAGTGACAAATAATGAAATGTGTTTAAAATAATAATGATAATTAAATTACTGAGAACCTTAAGATTTTTTTTTTTCTGCTTGGCTTTACAGACCTTGCAAATCTTTAGCCACCTGAACCCGTCTTCTCTTCCTCAGCCTACCCTGGTTCATTTTTTCCCAGTTTGTTGCATTGAGCTTTGCATTCATTTGGTTTTTGGCTTCTCAAGTAGTTTTTTTCCGACTATTGAGACATTCGTTATTGTGTAGAGGCTTTTGGATGAATTGTTAATAATTACATGTCCTGCCAATCTTGACCTCCGTGGCTGCATATCATACGGTATTCATTAACCAGTTTCTGTATTCAGATAATTACAGGTCCTTCTCCTAGAGGATAAACATCTCTTTCAATTCTATTTTATATGTGCTGGGTAGTGTCCGGGTCTCGTAGTAATTCGTATATCAGAACATTCGGGAATGGTTTTCCTTTTAAGCTGACTATTTTGTTAGGATGAATTCGTCGTGTTGTTATAATGTATTTTGTTTTTCTTCATTTACTTATAGACAGACTTACTCAGCTTCTCTCATTGAGTCTTAGCGAATCTCTCCATGTCCTCTTGATTGCTAACAAGGATAGCGATATCATCTGCGTTTCCTAAAATTTTATGAATCTTTGGGAATTGCACTCTTCTATTTTCATGTGCTGTTGATCTTATCATCTTTGTCCTTTGCTAAGTTAAACCGTATTGCCAAGCTTAAATCTGTCTTCAGCAAACCGGTTAGAACTTTGAAGGCTTCCGATAGTTCTGCTTGTATCAGGACTTGACATTTAAGATCATTTGCCCTCGCATTCGCCAATCTCATCAATTTCCATAGAGCATCCAATTCAGTTATGATTTTCCAAAGAAAGTTTTTATCCATAGAACAATATTATGTTATGAAATTGTACACATAATAACATTCTTTCTTTCGTTTTTCGAACATTTGTTTTTGGATGAAGTTCTGGTCGTTCTGCTCCTCTCTCTTCTGAACCCTGCTTGGTGGTGGTCTGTTATATGTTCATAATACATATATACCCGGTTCAGCAGGATATTGAGCATTGTCTTTTAAGCAAAAGAAAGGAATGCAAGGCCTCTGTAATTACTAGCTCAATATATGTACCCCGCCTTCAGGATATAGCATGTTAGGTTCGTGTTTCAAGTCTTTGATTTTCTTTCCTCCATCAATGCTTTCTGTACTAGTTTTACTCATTTGGCACATCAAGCTACGAATCTGATCGTAGGTTGTCCTGGGGTCTGCTCTTGATTTATGCCTTTCGATAGCTAATTATACATCCCCTGTATCTGGTTTTTCAGTCTCTTGTGGATAGAGGTCCTCTGTGTGAAATCCTCTTCCTTCTTTATTACTGGAACATCGTTTAACGACGACGATTTTTATTTTTAAGATATTTCTCCCAAAAACTTCATATCCACTGTGATGAAATCACATTCCAATTCTATTGGTCCAGATGGCATTCCCGTCAAATTAATCGAACTATGCCTTCCCGAAATCCTTACCGTTCTCCTTTCCTTTTATAATATCTCCTGAACTCAGTAATTCCGTCCTCTTGGAAAAAAAGTCATTGTCCATCATTTACTTAAAAATCCTAATCCTAAAAGGCTCTGCTGTGGTGATGGAAAATAATAATCTAATGTTATCCTTTCCTCTGATTCACCACTGAGCTATCTGCTCTAAACCGCGCCGTAAAATCCATTGACGCTAAACTAGCTAGCCAGAGGGAAATAATTAAAAGCTTTATAGTAGACATCAAGATCTACAAAAAAGTTGATATAAACAATTACCCAATTTCCAGCAGAAAAGTAGGAAATTTAAGTTTTTTTGTTTTTTTAAGCGAGTCACGTTTTTTGTTGAATAGGAAGCGGTAAAAAAAGAAATATTTAATTGAAGTAATTAACATCTACTTCACTGTAAACTAGACAAAATTTGCGTGAATCAAAAAGAGAGTTTGTCATTATTAAAACCATTTATTTTTTATTTTAATGAAATTTACAACTGTATTACATCAAAAATACAACAAGTAAATGTGACATTAGTAACATAACATGTACAACATGAAGAGAAACTACCCATTGGTAGAACTCAAATTAAAGTTTTATATTGGAAGATCCCGAGGCCATCTTCTTTTCAGACGCCTCGGAGGGTTATCAGGGATCGGGGAAGAAGCAAGGTTTGAAACGAGAGGGTTTGGATGGTTCTGCAGTTTGTTGTGGAAGGATAGGTATCTGGATTGGGCCAAATCGGAAACATATGGAACATTAAGGTCTTTATGGATGATTTTATTTGTGACAAAGTAAGGAGCGTAGAGGATTTTACGAAGGATTTTGTATTGTAAGGATTGGATACGAGAGGAATCCGATGGTTTAGTGGAGCCCCAAAGCTCAATTCCGTAAGACTAAATAGGTCTTATTATTGTCATATATATGAGTCGTTTGTAGTTGATTGAAAGCTTAGAGCGTTTGTCTAGTAAGTGCTGCAGTAGTCGAAAACGTCGGGTGGTTTCTAGTCGTTTCAGTCTGGTATGGGGATTAAAACCATTTAAAGACGACATTTGAGTGGCTAAACTAAGTTAAGATCTGTTTAAAAAAAAAGAAAATGATAAATTATTCGCCATTTTTTTTTTTATCATCATCCAACTGTACTACAGTTACCCTACTTTTAGACAAACTACCGCTTTTAATACGCTTTAATTACATATTAATTTAGTCGAGGTTTATTAGAAAAAAAAATTGAGATTCAACTATAAAAAAATCAGTAGGTTTAAACGTATATTTTAGTAAGAAACATTAATACCGAATGTTATGATTTTCTTGTTCATAAAAATTTCTTCGACAGCGATCTGAAAGAAAAACACAATTTCATATCCACACAACGTGAAAACTATTAAAGATCATTATTTTAATTTTTTTTACATTTATAAATAAATTTGTTTTTAGGCAATTGTGTTTACTACAATTCATCCCATATTGTAAGCTTTGCACCAGTTAATTGTAGTCATTTTTGCAGAAAACCGAGTACTTATACAATCAATATCACAATAGGAAATCACATCATTTCTCTACACTACTTGAGCTGAATCTCAATTTTTTTCCTTACAAACCTCAACTTAATTAATATATACCTGCAGATTATTAAGTGAGGAAGTTTTTGTAGCGAGGAAGGGCTTACATGTAGTACAGCTAAAGGGTGATTAAAAAAAATAACACAAATAATATATGATTTTTTTAAAGGAAACTTAGCTGTGTTTGTCCGCCAAATAATCCTATTTAAATAGTTTTAACAATGACAAACTCTTCTTTCTTTTAAAGTAAATTTTATCTAGTTTACTATGGATCAATGTTTAGTTACTTAATTCAAATATTTTTTATGGTATCGCTTTATATTCAACAAAAAACTGGACTCGCTTAAAAAAATACAAATATTAAATTTGTATCTTTGTATATTGTATTTGTATAGCTGGAAATGGGACAACTGTTTATATGAACTTTTTCGTAGATATTGATGTCTACTATTAAACTTTTAATTATTTTCCTCTACTTACGGGACACCCTGTATAAAAGTAAAATAACTTTGAAAAAAAAGTTGTTCAATTTTGTTTAAAATTGGGCCTTAGAAGCAGTTTGTAAAGGCTCTTGGTGAGGAGTGATCATGATTTAAATTTATTAGGAAAAATGCCTCACTTCAGTAAGGACAAAATTACAGCAGGAATATTTAACGGACCAGACATAAGACAAATTAATTAATGATCTAGCCTTCATAAATTCCATGAATGAGTATGAGCAAAAACGCTGAACTTAATTTGTCACAGTTGTCAGAAATTTTCTAGATCCACAAAATGCTGAAGCATGTTGAGGTGGTAAATGATATGCTTAAAAATTTAAAATTTCTTGGGTGCAATATGAGTATTAAGGCGCACTATTAAAACAGCCACCTGGTCCGTTTTCTTGAAACTGTAGGAGACAGTAGTAAGGAGCATGGTGAAAGATATCATAAAGGTATTAAAATTATGGATCATCGCTATCAAGGAAGATGGGATACGTACATTATGGCAGGTAGTTGCTAAGGTAGAGTTAAGAAAAGAACTGTTCCAAGATATATTCAAGAAAGTCACGAAAAAGAAGCTTCCAACGTGTTGAGAGACTAGTTGGTACCATCGATGACTTCGTACTATCTTTGTTTATTCAGGATGTCCCATAAGTAGAGGAACATAGTCATGTTTCTTCTTAAATAGGAAGCTATAACTAACGAAATATTTTATTTAGATACCCCGCTTTAAGACAAAATTCTTCGTTTAATGGGCCTTAAGTCCGTATTAATTAATTAGAGGTTTATTAAGAAAAACTTCTGTGAAAAAATTATGCAATTTTTATCCTGTCAATTAAAAGTACCTCTGTTTTCAGCAAAAATGTCTACAATTAATCGTTGCAAAACCTTAGATATTGTTTTTCCATGATCTAGGGCGTATTATCTGCCTTAATTAAAATTACCAACGACATTCAATCTGCAATAGATGATAGAAAATTAACTGTCCTTATTCTTCTAGACTTCTCCAAAGCTTTCGATTCCATCAACCATTCCATCCTCTTCAACAAACTAAAATCATTATCTTTCTCCAATAGTTCCATCTCTTGGTTCCAATCTTTCCTCTCCCAACGCACCCAAGCAGTCTCCATACTATACAACCAACCACTATCTGCTTTCCTTTCTTTATCCTCTGGAGTTGCCCAGGGTTCAAGCATATCTCCTCTCCTTTTCAGCTCCTACATTAACGACCTACCTAAATCAATTCTCCATTGTTCCCATCACCTTTATGCAGATGATTCCCAGATCTACCTATCCTTTTCTCCCTCTGAGTTACTGGGGGCATTTGCCAAGATTCAAGAAGACCTTGATCGAATCAATGCCTGGGCAAATGTAAATGGATTAAAGTTAAATGCTGCCAAAACTCAGGCCATTGTCATTGGTTCCAAGCCCCTCATTACATCCCATACTGACTTTCCCATATTACACCTTAATGACCAGCCAATTTCCTTCTACTCCTCTGTTAAAAATTTAGGATTTTTCATAGATCAAACCCTCTCCTGGACCTACCATATTACTCACATTTTCCGTCGGACAATTTCTACCCTTAAACTATTTCATCGCTTCCGCCATCTCCAACCTCAACATATCCGTAGACTCCTAATTTCCTCTCTCATCTTCCCCCACTTTGACTACAGCTGTGTGTTGTATGATGGCCTCTCGGTGGAGCTCCGTGATAGACTGAAAAGATTAATGAATAGCTGCGTAAGATTTGTTATTGGTGCCCCGAGGTACTCCCATGTCTCTCACCACTACACTGAGTTAAGGTGGCTCTTCCCCTCCTTCCGAAGACAATACTTTCTAGGTACGTTCCTCTACCAAATCATCAACAACCATCGTCCTTCTTACGCCTACAACCTTCTCCAGTTCAAATCCTCAGTCCATTCCCTGTCCACAAGATCTCGACCTTCTGACCTTTACATGCCTTCTCACAGATCTGCCTCATTCCAAAATTCCTTTATTGTTCGCTCTGTCAATTTCTGGAATTCCCTCCCTATCAAAATTCGACATTCCCCCTCCATATCCACATTCAAATCCCTCCTATTCCAATTCCTATCACAAAAACAACACAAAGTCAGATACTTGCTAACAATTCGAGCGGATTTTAATAGAGAATTTGAAACATGTTTATTTTTTAATTCTTTATTTTTTTCGGAAAAGTGTATACTGGTCTATAAGAGCAGATAGCTCTAAGTTTCTTGTCATAGTATTAATGGTTTTGTATATAGTTTAGTTTGTTTTGTATATAGAATTTTTACCTTATATTTTTTTTACATTATTTCTTTTTTTCGATTTATTTTATTTTGGCCAGATGTAATATTTTAATTTTGTTCTATTTTGTTATTCTCAAGGGACTGTGTCCCAGAATAAAGTTATTTTTCTATTTCAAATAAAGTTATTTTTCTATTTCTATTTCTATTATAATAAAAATAATTGCCTAAGTACACTATTTATTAATACAATAAAAAATATTAAAAATAATGATTTTCAAATATTTTTCATGTAAAGTGGTTATGAAACAATGATTTTCTCCCAGATCTCTGTCATAGAAATTGATACATATTTATAAGCGACAAAGTAAATGTTCCTAATCCTAATATTAACATTTTAAATGAAAACAATTGAAGGAATCAGCAGGTTTCTTTATTCTAAATGCCAATTTTAGGACTAAAAACATTTATTTTGCCACTTATAAACATCATTGTCACTTATAAAAAACACGACTTACTTAAAATAGAACACAAAACTTGGATTTCCTACTGTTCTGCTGAATATTGGTCCATTGTTTGTATGAACTTTTTTGTAGCTCTTGAGATATGCTGTCACTTCTATAAAAATTTCCCTCTACTTACAGTACACCTTGTATAATAATATTAGTATATACTAATAATATTTGTTTAATATAATGATATTTGTATAATGTATGATTTAATAATAAATATTCCATGTTTGATTTTTAGATTTGATTCATGGATTTAATCCAATATAACGTAACACGTATATTTTACTTAGAAATTTTACTTTCTAGAAAAAAAGTAATGCATATTTGAATTCAGGACACCAAATTCCTATGAAATCAGCTCTTAATACCCCGGCATTAATACTCCTGTTAATACGGCCTGTGTAACAGATTTTTTGTTTGCTGACGGGGACATAAAATTTTAGCGCTAAATTTCTTCGATAAGTTCTTGTATATTATTACATTTAAAAGATTATATAAAATATTTAATCCGATGATATCTAATCTTTTCTGATTTGTTGCTAGAATGGGAATACTGCTATGCATGCGGCTGCTTGGAATGGGCTATTTAGATGTGCTCAATTGCTTGTCAATGCGGGAGCCAACCTTTTTCTGGAAAACAACGAGCGATTAACTCCTTGTGATGTAGCAATGAAGTTTGAGCATCACAATATCGCTCGGATGCTAGAGGCAAAAATGGTATTTGTAAGTATCTAACCAAAATAATTTTTCCAGAGAATGATACAATGATTGAATCATTTCATTCTTTTAACTAATCACCATGTATTAAATTATATTATCTGATTGTTACAATTAATTCACTTTCCTAGCATTTTAAATTATAAAAGCTTGTAATAGGAGAATAAGACAAATAGTCACTTACCCATCCTCTCCACCACATCTCTTAGCACTTTTATTGGATCGTCTTAAGTTCTCTTTCCTTTACTAAAACTGAGAAAAATAGACAATGGTAATGGTCCAATTGGACGGGACAAGAACCTTCAAATCATTTAAAAAGTCTTAGACATTGTTAGACTGGCTATAAGTGTATTACTTTGTGGACGATTGTGCTAATAATAGAAATCATGGATTGTTTTGTGCTGAATTTACAGGAGATAAAATGTCTGTAAATAATAAGTACGGGGACGGCCATCGGCTTGAGCCTTCGGTTCGAGTCGTCCCTCATCGACTGCGGAGGTGCAGGCATCCTCCTGTATATCGGCAGTTGATGTAAAGCTCGTAAGATTGCGGAGCCTGAGACCAATCGTGCTCTGAAGTAGTGCTTCCCGACCATGGTACTACGTGGCGTCGCCGGAGTCCTGGGTGGCGGAGCGCTTTGGGTGGACGGCGAGACTTGCACTGCTCGGCCGTGCCGGTCGTAGTGGTCGATGTGTTTACGACTACTCGCTGCACGACACCAGTGTTCAGCTAGTCTTGACGTAGTTCAGATTAATCATCTGGTATAGTGTACAGACTAGTGGTCGGAAGCTTGAGAGTAGGATGCTGTCCGTTCCGTGGGCACCGGCTGTGTGCCTGCATCCCTTGTAGCCCTGGAGCCAGAGCCCAAAAATCGACCTGATCGCAGGCGAAGGCTTTATTGTAAATTACGAAAGTGTATGTTATTTTGAGTAAAAAGAACCTTGTCTGCCGTTCCAGAGTCGCCGCTTTCAAAAATGGCGGCTGATTTAAAAAATATTAGGTCTATAATTTGAGGATGGAAACGGGAAATCCATTGCGAAAAATGTGAGAAAAGTTTTTATTTTTTTAACTTGTATATATGGGTTTCGACATGTAAAAAACAAAATTGCTAACGCAGGCCACCAAGGGAAAACTTTTTACAGCCAAAAAGTCAGATTTTTTCAATATTTTTTGGGTTTTTCATCTATAGCTCCTAAACGATGCATCAAAGCGAAACATGTATTCTTTAATAAATTAAAGAACGTTAAATTTTGCGTCTAATGAGTACATAAACTTTATAGTTTGGTTAACTATTAAGGTATAAACCCACGGTCAACCAACGCTGATTTTTACCAAATTTGTCAAAAACTGACACAAATTACTATAAACGGCCCTGTAACTTGGAAATGAGTTCCCTAAGAGGAAAAACCCATAGAATCAAAGTTGTAGAGCACAAATTTTGCGTCCAATGAGTACCAATTAATTTAATGTAGTTGACTTACTCCGAATGAAATCGGTAATTTTCCGAAGGTTCGATTTTCGAATGCCGTATCGGAATTACTTCTGAAAATACTGATGTTTTCACTGATGGTAGTAAGGACGGCGAGAATGTTGGATGTGCATGGTTGTTCAGAGCTCAAGATGGTAGGAATATAGAACATCAATATAAATTAGAATCATATTGCTCAAATAATCAGGCAGAAAAATTCGCTGTTTTAAAGGTTACTGAATACATATATGAATACCCTCTACAAACGAATACTCACGTTACTATAAATACAGACAACAAAGTTCTGCTAGACTCTGTTAATAATTGGGACATTCATGATTACTTGACTGACCAAATTAGAAACAAATTGTTAATGATGAGAACTGTAGGGAAAGTAGTGACTTTAAAATGGGTAAAAGCACATTGTGGGATTGAGGGCAATGAACGAGCCGATTGCCTTGCAAAAGAAGCAGCTAAAAGCGATTTACCGCCATCGTATCATCAAGCTCCTTTATCGTATATTGATATGAATTTAAAGCTGGATTTCATCAAAAGATGGGATCACATATGGGTGACCTCAGCTAAGTCACCAAGCTTACACAGATTTATACCACACATTTCAATTCACAATTACAGACACATTCACAGTAATGACTACAAACTTACGCAAGTACTTACAGAACATGGGAATACAAAACAATATCTTAAAAGATTCAACATTATACAAACAGACTTATGTGATGAAGACGGACAGGTTCAAAATTTTAAACATATAATATATGAATGTAAACGATTTGACAGACAGCGATTTGAGTTAATAAAAAGCATAATTATCAAAAGAGGAAATTGGCCTGAGACGGAACAAAAGTTATTTACTGAATTCAAGACAGACTTTCTTAGATTTATTAGATCGATCGACTTCGACTTACTAACCAGGGATGGGCAGCGTGGGTGATTTCTTTTTGGCTTTGTTGGATTGACTTTGTGTGTTTAATATTTAATTTTCCGATTTAATTTTTGTGTGTTTATTCTTTGTGTTTTTTTTTGTTAATGTATATAAATTTGAACTAAAAATGTAAATCATGTGAAACTAGAAAAAAAAAACAATTGTAAACAAATGTAATTCATGTAGTATGTCTTTAAGGCATGGAGCATGAAGGAAAATCAAATAAACGATCCTTGTGTGGGGTTACCACGTAGGGAAAAAAAAAAAAAAAAAAAAAAAAAAAAAAAAAAAAAAAAATACCTCCACACATCTCTTCACGAACAACTCCATACATTCTTCTAAATATTTTTCTTTCAAAAATATTCAGCATATTAATTGTGCTTGCACAAAGGGTCCATGTCTCCACTGCATAAGTCAGAATAGTTCTTAACAAAGTCTTATATAATCTTATCTTTGTTTCCCGAGACAGGAAGGATGATCGACAATTTTTTTGGCATAGTACGCCCGGTTTACAGCTATGATCCCCTTGCTTATCTCAGTAAAAATTTTATTTTCAAAATTCACTTCCATTCCCAGGTACGTGAATTTTTGACACACTCGAAGGTGAGACCGCATATATCAGTGCTCTGAGAACCAGTCTCATTGTTGGCCATGACATACATGTATTTTGTCTTCTTTTGATTAAATTTCAGCTTCCAAAATTTATCCGGCTTTCACTATTGCAAATATTTCCTTTATTGACCTCAAATTCCTGGTAATTGGGCAAATATCGTCTGTGTAAGCGCATATTTCCACCATTGCGCTAAGTATGCAATCAGGTGAATCCAATTTTTTTTTTTTTTAATTTTTCAAAACATTATTAAGTGCAGTATTTAATTAAAACTTATTTAATTTATTTAGACAGTTTATTTAATTAAAACTTACTAAGGAAGAATTTATCTATTTCATAAATAAATAAATTGGACTTCTTTTTTCTTTCAGACTGAGGAGGAAACCGATGTTAATGAAGCAGATATTGAGAGCTCGGAAGAAGAAGCATATTCTGGACTCAGAAGTCAAGATCTGCAGGAAGCTAAAGATCAACTGCTTGTAGAAACATCGGATATGCTCAATATTCCTCTTTTCACAGCTGAAGCGCTACTTAGAGACAACGGTATCCAACACATGTTTGTCTTTATTAAAGTGTAAAAAAAAAAAATCATTGTAAAGGGATAAATATTTACTTAAAGACACACACAAAAAAAGATACATTTGTATTTTATTGTTTATTTCAACTAGTATGATTTTATCTTTAGATTAATTATAATTTACTTGTTTTAGAATATTAAATCGAAATTGACGAGGTCAGAAATTCTTTAGTTTTAAACACATTTATTTATAGAAGATTGTTTGGAAGAAAATTCGTCAAAAAACGGAAAGTCGTTAACGTTTATTCTACTTCATACAAAAACAGACAGATTTAAAAAAGGCTTTATTTTGCACTTGGCATATGAAGCAAAGCTTTTTCACAATCTTCTCGGTATATTCTTTCAATCATCTTGTAATCACAAACCAAACCAAAAATCATCTGTGAATGGTCCAAACAAGATGATTATTTACGAAAATCCTAACTGCTCGATGCCTTACTAATAGTAGAGAACCCAACGGGATGTGTGGTGACTATGATCATAAAGACTTCTTTTGACTATCTGAATTGGAGCCATTATATGATGTTTCCACAACCGATTGCTTGTCTCAGTTTAAAGTGGTCGACCGCTATCGGTTTTAGTCTGTGCGCTAGACCCCCTTACCTTGTACCCTCTCCCTCCTCCATACATCCCTATAAATTGCATATCGTTGTTCTCCTTGCAGCTATTTATTAAAAAAAAAAAAACAATGTTCCTAAATATTGCAGAATGACGACTTTGACTTGAGTTAGTTGTTTGATCACTGAGATTCGACATTTGGCTTATTTTCATCATATTTTGTCTTTTATTCAAGCTCGATAGTCAAAGAATAAGAAATTGACTTGTAAAAACATGAAAAAATATTAACAAATAATTGACTTCGGCCAAAAGAATAATTTTTTTTAAAAAGTTATTCATTGATTTTTTACAATTCGTCTCAATTAATAATAATTATAGCGATATTCAGAGAGCACCTTCACACTATATGTATAATAAATAAAAATTGAATTAAACAGCAAAATAATAATACTAAAAGTAAATATTTATAAACAAAAAGAAAATAACTTAAATACAAGCATACTTTTATACAGTATTTATAAAATACGTTTACTTAGAAGAACTCTGAGGCAAACCTTTTCCCCAACACCTGGAAGGAAAGGCATTTAGGTGATCCCAGCGTCTCTCACTCAGCCGCCTTACTGGTTCGGCATGGGACCAATGACAACGGAGAGCGCATGATAGGTTTTTCCACTGCAAACTCCTTAGTCGTAATGAGCACAATTTTTTACCCATAAACAGCCACACAAAGGAACTCGGACTTCTCCAAGTGGGGCAACAACTCAGATAGACCATATTCTTGTCGCCATTAAGTATTTCAACAGTGTGCATGATGTTTGGACTTACCGAGGTCCAGATGTACACTCAGACTATTTCTTTGTGGTTACCAAGTTGAAATGCCACATACATAAAAAATATGACCAGGGGCGTAGGTGGGACAAAGATAAAATTAATAGAGCGGAGGTGAAAGGTATTTTTCAAAATTGCACTCAATGCTCTCTCAAAGATGGGTAAAGAATATACCAGTAAGTGAAGAAGTCAGGAACGTGCAAGAAGAATGGAACACATTTAAGCAAGTAATAGAGGAAGCTGCTGACCAATGTGCAAGAAAAATAGATATTAATCTGTGGATATCTTCCTGGTACGATCAAGAATGTGAAGAAATTATAAAAATCAGGAATATTAAGAGAGCAAAATACCTAAACTACAGATCATCAGAATCGCAGAGAGTACCAAGAATCAAGGATCAATTCTAAGAAAGTGCTGAGACAGAAAAAAAGAAAAGCCTTTCAGGATAAATTTAAAAACATTGTAGAAGCAAGGCTTAGGAATGAAACAAGAAAGTTCTTTCAGGACGTAAAGGCCAACGAAGTTGGTTCTGTTAATGAGTCAGGTATGGTAAGAGATAAGAATGAAAACCTCCTTGTTTTGGAGAATGAGTTACAGGAAAGATAGAAAAAGCACTTCCAGGAGTAACTCAACTCTGTGGATGGTGAAATGTAAACCCTCAGAAGTATGCAGTCAACAAGAGAAGAAGATACGGATGAAGTCAAGCCACCTGATTCTGACGACATTGAAAATATTTTGGAAAAGCTAAGGAACAATAAGTCACCAGAATCTGTCTGATGATCAGATCCCTGGAGAATTTCTCAAAAAAGTGAGGAGTCGTCTTCCAGAGGAAATTACCCAAATTAGTAGCAAATATTTGAGAAATAGAAAAACTATCGGAAGAATGGAAAGAATCTCTCATGGTCCCAATTTATAAGAGAAAAAGATATGCGAAGTGGCTGCAGAGATTGCAGAGGTATCAGCTTACTAAATTATGCTTATGAGGTATTCTCTATTGCTCTGTATAATCGCATCGTTCCATACGTGGAGAGACAGCTTGGAGATTACCAGGGTGGTTTTAGGACAAATCGATCTACCATCGATCAAATTTTTGTCATGGACAGGCTACAGAAAAAATGAATTTAATAACTGGAATTAGGGATGAAAATAACAAAGTCCTCACTGACCCAGTAAATTTATTAAGTAAGTTTTAGAAACACTTTGAGAATACTTTAAATACGGGAAATAATGATGTGTGTCCACCTGAGTACCAGAGTGCTTGACCCTTAATAAAAAACCGAGTAAAGGGGAAGTTGAAGTACCTATCGGAAAATTAAAACTGAAAATTAAAAACAGCAGGAACAGATTGTATTCCTAGTGAAGTAATTAAGATATGCGGGGAAGCTGGAGTTTCTAAAATACATTTGTTGGCTAAAAAGATCTGAGAGAATGAGAAATTGCTTGAAGAATGGAAATAATCTATTGCTAAGCCCATTCACAAAAAGGGCCTGGGACGAATTATAATAACTATCGACGAGTTTCACTCCTGCCGGTATGTTATAAAATATTCTCAGTAATGTTAACTAATCATATCACGGAATACGCTGAGGAATGGAAATTATCGGAGATCACCGATGTGGATTTAGACAGAACCCTTCGACTATTGATCAACAATTTTTTTTACGACAAATATTGGAGTATAACGGTGTTCTTTACCAGCTTTATATTGATTTCAAAAAGGCTTATGATTCCATTGACCGCTAGAAACTGACTGTAGTATTCTTATTGAGCTTGGATCCCAAAAAAATTAGTGAATTTAGTTAGGATGTGTATGTCCGAAACATTTAATAGAGTTAGAATCGGTAATTATTTATCCAAGAAATTTGAGGTTCGTTAGGGCTTGAAATAAGTTGATTTCCTTTTCTCTATTCTATTTAATTTGGTATTAGAACATGCCATTAGGGAGTAAAGATGTTATATACCGAAAAAGGTTTGAATCTGGGTGTAACAATATCCGTACTTGGCAAAGCTAATGATTTGGTACTGTAGGGAACAATAAAACTTGTTGCTATAAATGTATTCTAAATTTTTATAGAAAGTCTTTTTATAATTATAATTTCGTCAATGATTTCTCCTATCCTTTTACTTACTCAACTTCAACTAGGAGCTCCTTATGTTTCATGTATTTGATGGTAAAACACCCTTTCCATTATCATGTTGTTATGGCGAACATATTAATACTTTTTCTTGTTACAGATAGTAACATTTCCCCTTTACTTTATTGATCCCAATCTACACTGAACGCTGAGCACATGAAAGCGTTACAGTAGTTAGAGGTTTTCCGATGAAATCCCATAAACTGATTCTTTCTTCCAGAATGGTCTCGGGAATTACTACTGGAAAAGTGGATGAAAGACCCAAGGACTTGCTGTCAACGAGCTGGAGTCCCCTTCCCTGGAACATCACGAGAAGAAAAAACAGATGAAAATATAGGAGAAGAAGATGCTCTAGTAAGATATTTTTAATTAACTGACCGATTATAATGGAATTCAGAACATATGTTTTTACATTCTTCCATTATTTAAATTTTGTTGCACAAAATTGTATATTTTAATTTGATTTTGAATTAAAAATTCATATTTTAATTTTTAATGGTTAATCATAATTTTACATTGTTGTTTTTATCATTGATGTTGGAATTGCATAAGGATATCTTTAAAAATGCCAGCTAAACAGCGAATTATTACTCATCAAACAACTGTCGCGCAGAGAAAACGAGATGAATTACAATAATAAAATCTTATTTATCAATTTTAATAATAATTACATATTTATTAATGTTCTTTTCAAAAGATTAATATGAAATCGGTAATGTTATATATGTTCGATGGGATTCCCATTCCGTATGCCAGAAATGAATATCGGAGAAAATGATCTCTTTCCCAGTACTACTTGTCGTCGTCTCTATGACAGATATATCTCTATCAATGTTACCTCCGTCAGGTGTATACCCCGAAACCACTGTAAAGGAGAGTTTTATCCATCACAACATGCTAAGTTGTCTGCCGTATTGCCTCAAGTCTAGTACATCAATGTTTGAGTCGGTAATGACGATGGCAGCCCTAGGCCTCCTCTCTCCACTGCTTAGAGATATAACTCTCAACTTAAGGCCGAAAACGTGATCGAAATTATGCCAGTTCATATTTTGGACTTAATACTGTTGGTATTAATACCTTTTTCATGAATTATTAACATATTAAATAATTGTTTCCCTTAACTACCCAAAATCCTGTATAAAGAACATGCCTAAAAATAAAAACCTTATGAAAGTTATGTTTTTAGGCACGCTTTAAGTGATGTGACTATCAGGTTTGAATCTCTGATAAAAACATGCGGGATTAACTCCAAAAAAATTTGTATGTTATGGGTAAAAATTACATTTTCTTTATTTTTAATAGTACACAATTTTTAATATTATAAATTGTAAAACAATTCAATACTGAAATGAATATTCCATTAAACAGTTTAGTAAATAGAGAGGACTGCTAAAAAACTAGATTAAAATGACAAACGTACCACCCACTTTCCTCTACTATGGAAACACTCCACTATTATCCTTTTCCCAAAACCAGGCAAACCTCCCAACAGCTTGGCATCCTATAGGCCAATTAGCCTACTCTCAATCCTTTCAAACGTCTTTGAAAAGATCCTTTTAAAACGAATCCTACCCTTCATAGAATCCCTAAATCTTCCTTCCCATCAGTTTTATTTTCCCTCAAAACACTTCACTGTTCAACAAAGACTCCGAATCCTTGATCATATATAAGCAACTCTAGAAAACAAGAAATACTGTTCGGGTACATTTATGGACATATCACCGGCTTTTGACCGGGTATGGCACCCTGGGCTACTCTTCAAGCTTCCATCCATCTCACTCAGTCCATATACCTAATCCTTCGATCCTACCTCTCTGACTGGTCCTTTCGAGTAGGCGGTGGAACTGAATTTTCCGATATTTATCCAATTAAAGTCGGTGTTCCCCAGGAAAGCGTCTTGGGTCCCGTACTTTGCATCCTCTTTACCGCTGACGTATTCCAATACCTTCCTTGCAACATTTGCTGATGATACCGCAATCCTATAATCTATCTCAGATCCCGAAATATCATCATTAAATCTACAAAGGCATCTCCCCCTTATTGAACACTGATGCAATAAATGGTGCATTAAAATGAATGAATCAAAATTCATATTACCTTTACTCTCTGACGCAATTCCTGTCCACCAGTATCTTTAATTCCATCCAGCTTCATTACTCTGACACAGTCCGGTATCTTGGCTTTCTCTTAGATCGAAGTCTGACATGGAACCCACAAACTAGACTTAAAAGACAAGAACTCAACTGACGATAACTGACGATTCAAACTCCTTTATCTACTACGGTGATACTGAGAATATCCCAAGTTAAGTTTATAATATACTGAGTTAACGTACACCCGTAATTAAACATTAACAGTAAAGTAGATTTTGTTGAATGTGATATTTTGTCGGCCATTTGGATTTTAGTGCCATATTTGAGAATTTAAAAATATTTCCGATAGTTTGAATGACAGCAAGTTGTCAATTTTAATTTTTGTACAGAAAGTGATCATTTTGTAAATGTGTTCCAATAAAAAATGTATAACATGCACATGTCATGAACGTACATTAACTTAATAATCACTTCCTGAACGAAAAATAAAATGGCAAACGTGAACATGTTCCGATTTATTATGTACTGAACTATTCAAGATGACACATTTAAAATATATATTCACACTAATACATTTGTCTGATGGTCATAATAAATTAATCAAATGAGTCTTTAATGAGAATTTAAAAATGTTTCCGATAGCTCCTAAGCTAGCAATAATTAGTGTATCCTAAGGTACATTCTTACCAACTTTGATGTTTTTGTACGCAATGTAATGATAACCTTAAAATTTAGCCATAAACCAACAAACTATTGACCTTGAAAAAAGTTAAATTTTATTCATGCTCGTTCCTATGATAAGACAAGGAATCTTCCAAAATACAATATAACAAATTATGTATAATTATACAATATTACGTGTTTTTGTTTGTTTCAGTGCGGGATATGCCTTTCTCCTTTAAAAACAGTATTGTCCCTGGACTGTGGTCATAAATTTTGTAGAAGCTGTTGGTCTACATATCTCACTTCAAGGTAATGTTAATTTTCATAATAATTATTCTAAAATGTAAAGAGCTTGGGGGAATACTGAGGTCAATCCAAGGACTCATGAGAAAACGACAATTAATCACGATTCGATGTTTAGACCTTTCAAAAGTTGAGGGGTTATTGCTTGATGTAAGGAATTGAGAATTTTTGTTGAGTTTATTAAAATCCATTATGGAATGAATATAATGGAAAGACCCGGGGTTTACAGAGGGTAGTTGTAATCTAACAGTTAATTTATACAACATTTAGCTTACATCATACAATTATATAGTTATCTACTAGAGCATAGCTGTTATTTTCATAATATGCGATTTAATTATCACTCTTATTTGTACTGTCAGGCTAGGAGTAGCCTCAGTCCACCTCTTGAAGGCTTCTCCATCCTGAGTAGTCCAAGAGCCAGTTTTGTTTCTTATCACTTAAGCAGTAGAAGTTTTGGCTAAGGGATATGGAAGATCTTATCGTTTAGTTCCAAAAACAAATTTATCTGAAAATACTTCAGTATGATGTTGGCGTGTACGATTGTTCAAAAAACTAAATAAAATGTAAATAATTATCTCATAGTAGGAAGAAAAATGTTATATTGTCAGAGAAGATTCAGGAAATACCTTGCTAGAAAAAAATGTTTCGTGATTTGACCCTCCCAGAGAACAATTTTTTAAAATTTTGTTCTAAATTACCTCATAGGCGGCATGCTTGAGAAATAGCTTATATTAAATTTTCTATAGATTTAACTTAATTTAAACTTACTAGCACTCCTCCCCCTCCATGGAAGCTGGAAAAAAAGGTGAATATTGATAAAATAAATATTGAGAAAATCCATCCTCATAGACGAATTTCATATAAATTCATATGAATTATACGAATATAATATAAACAAAAAAATATTATCGTGGACAAACCTAGCGAATCCTGCTAGGGGATGCGCCCTTTCTTGGATCTTGGAAAAAATTTCCGAAAAACATCTATTTAACGAAAAGTCCTATATATGAAAAATTCATCCTCATAAACTAATTTTCTGATGTAATATACAAAAAAAAAAAAAAAAAAAAATATTATCATGACCACTTTTATTTATCTTACGGTTTGCCATATCACGTCACCTCACCTGGCTGTGATCAACTTGCGCCGGGACTTTGGCGCACTGCTAGATTTTGTCAAACAAAGAACAGAATGTAAGAGCAAAAGTTGGCTCACAGAGTAAAGCGATATAGTTTTTGGGCCGCCGTGAGATGCGAAGGCTTCTGCTCCTGTCCCAATTTGTTCCTACTGACTCCGAACTGAGTCTCATAGGTGAAGTACTTGATGGAGGAAAATTAACTTTCAAAAAATGAACTTCATTTATTGTTTCGAACAACCTTTTATTCGAGTACAAGAAAATACGGTTTTCCTCCTGGATCCAGTTTTATGCAGTTCCAATAGATCTGGATGTATTGCAAACTCCAGCAGCTGTAGTCTTGAAGAATCCATGCGATTCATAAAACTGGTCAGAAAATAATTTGTAGATTTCTCATCAGAAAATGTTGTTCTTTTCTTAAAACAGGTGCTGTTGGGAACGTTTTCATGAAGAAAGGTACTGATTATTTGGTATCCGATTTGATCGAAATCAGATTATGATCGGAATCGGAAATTATTCTATTTTTTTTTCTCAGAGAACTCATTTCCAAGCTGCAGGACCATTTATAGTAATCCGTCTCAGACTTTGACAATGTTGGTAAAAATTAGGATTCATTGACAGTGGTTATCGACCATATTACTTGACCAAATTATTAAGTTTAGGTACTCATTTGACGCATTGACGTTATTTAATTTCTTAAAGAATACGCTTTTCGCTCTGTTGCACTATTTATTATATATGGCAAACCAAAGATCAGATAAATACGGAGTTTTTGGCTGTAAAATGTTTTCCTCAGGTGATCCGTGTTAGCAATTTTTTTTTACATGTCTAAACCTATTTACAAGGTCTCCCGTAAAAAGAGGGAAATATTTAAAAGAGTGATAGCAGAACTCTAGAAATAAAAAAAAACTGTATATAAACAATGGTTCGATTTTCAGCAGGAAAGTAGAAAATCAAAGTTTTGTGATTTTTTAAGTAAGTCACGTTTTTTGTTTAATAGAAAGTGATAACTAAAAAACTATTTAATTTAAATAACTAACGATTGATTCACTGTAAACTATACAAAATTTACTTTTTATAAAAATAGAGTTTGTTAAAAAAAAATGCGTCTTGAATAACGTGAGAAATGTTTGTCTCAAAATATAATAAATAAGAGAGAATATAAAATTATTTTGATAGGTTCTTTCAGCTAGGCAGATTTTTAAAAAAAATTCAAAAAGCGTCATAAATAATAAGTATCAGAAGCGTGGGAATATGATTTATGAAAATGTTTTATTTATAGGGATTATTAAGAAAATATATTTCCATGAAAAAAAGCAATTTGGATATTTACCGCTCCCTGAAAGAAAAACCTAAAAACATTATTGCTCTAGTTCATCAAAATAATCGTATTCTAATGATTTCTCTGATCGGTTATCAGGAAAATTAGTCTAATTCAATTGTATCATTTTTAACAAACTAATTTAAAACTTTAAACAATTGTTTAAAATCGGTAGAAATGCCATGTGATTAGATACACCAGATGGCTTATTTTAATAATTGTGTAGATTGTCTTTATTCTACAACTCTTCCATTCCAAGGTGGGTGCTTATCACTTGGCACTGGGTGCAAATATTTGGTTGGACTTTACTATGTTTATCTTTGTCTAAGATTTAAAGTAACATGTTTTTGAGTTATATTAAGTAAATGACTGCGAAACATTAGAGGGTTGTGTTCTAACTAAAGGCCCAATCTTCTTCAGAAATAATAATGTAATTTTGCTAGCTGGAACTCACTACTTTAAACATGAGTAAAATATTCACAGGATTCAAGAGGGCGATTCTAGCCTCGTCTGCCCAGCGTCTACATGTAGACATCTCGTTTGTCCAGAAGTAGTTGAAGGAATGGTTAGCCCAACAGTTGCCAAAAGATACCTGCAGTTCGACATAAAGGTATACTAACACAAGCATTTATTTTTATTGTACGTAGTAATTGTATTACATTAGGAAAATTATTATGATAACTTATAATTTGAGAAAACAAAATGGGCAGATTATGAGCAGTTTTTTTTTTTTACTAGATTATTGTATTTTAAACCTTTTTTTTGTTTGAAGATTTTAAATTTTTGGAATGTACTGCTTTTTGTTGATAACAGGGGCCATAACATGTTTGCCCATTATAGCCCCTACTTGTTCCGACCACTATAGGCGCAGTACCAATATGAACTTTAACAGGATCAGATTACAAATCTTGTCCGATTGTTGTATAGCCAAGGCTTCAGGTATAGGAATAGTTAAACTAAGTGTGTGTAGCCCAGACAAATTAGCACAAAAAAGGTCGGTTAATTCAAAAGGTACGTAGTAAATATAAAAAATCAAAGTTTCGGTCCTTGAAATCCTTGTGGGTTCGCTGCAGTGCTCCAAAAACCATTAAAATTTCTAACAGTTCTTAGTTTAATCCAAATAAAGTAACATAGATAAAAATAGTCATATTAAATCATAAAGAGCTTAAAATTCTTTCTAAAATTTTTTTCTAAACCCAGCAAGAAGCGAACTATCGAGCTTTCAAAAGCTTCAGATTGTTTTTCAAGTATAATTCCAAAAAACGTTATCTCCCGGATAAATAATGAATATTAGTCATTGATAAATGTAAGTTAAACCATTTTTTTAAAAAAATTTATTATGATATTTACAACTGTATTAGTATGAATACATCAAGTAAATGTGTACAAAGGAATATAATCACATGAAACACGCTTGTTGAGAAACTCTAATAATTTGTCTACATGAGGAAATCACGAGCCCATCTTCTTTTCAAACGCCTCGGACGGTTATCAGGAATCGAAGAGGAAGCAAGGTTAGAAACAAGAGGATTCGGATGCTTATGAAGTTTATTATGGAAGGATAGGTATCTGGATTTGGCCAAATCGGAAACATGTGGAACATTGAGGTCTTTATGGATTATTTTATTTGTGACAAAGTAAGGAGCATTGAGGATTTTACGAAGGATTTTGGATTGTAAAGATTGGATACGAGAGGAATTTGATGGTTTAGTGGAGCCCCATAGCTCAACTCCATAAGTCCAAATAGGTCTTATTATAGTCATGTATATGAGTCGTTTGTAATTAATTGGAAGTTTAGAGCGTTTGTCCAGTAAGTGTTGGAGTAAGCGGAAACGTCGAGCAGTTTCTTGTCCTTTAAGTCTTGTATGAGGATTCCAAGTGAGAAGTTTGTCCAGCTGGAGTCGGTATCGGATTTGTTCTACAGGGATAAGTGGGGTGTTATTAAAGGATACTATAGGGCAGCAAGTCATTGGTTTACGACGGTTAAAAAAAATTTAATGTAAAAATTTAACTAAGTGTATAGTAATCTACTTCTGTTTGTTAGTCTTGGTTTTATATTTTAAAGTCGACTGGTTCCATCCAATGTTTTCCTAATTCTTATATAATCTTAAAATTTTGCTGATATATTTACTTCACAGAAATTATTAGACTACAGGGAGTCTCAGTTCACAATGCTCAAACTCTGGGGCGTAATTCTGGACAAAATGTCCAACAAAAAGAAACCATTTGATGCATGGGCTGATTCCAAACGGCAAATGAGTTAGGACTAATTTTTGTTTTTCTTAAGGTGTCACTTTTTTATTGAATAAGAAAGAATCGATCAAAAACTGTTTAAGATTATTAAATTCTAAATACACCATCGTAAAGTTGACAAATACTCTTTGATAAAACAGTGATTAAATTTACTATTATCAATCATAAAAGGGACTTTCAGAAGGTCTAATAACACAAGCCTTGCCTTATGCCGAATTATTTCACGTATCGGTAATACAAAGATATGCTGCTCATGTACGGGTACTGTAATAGCAGCAGTACACAGACTGTATTAGACCTCCTGAAAGTCCCTTTAATCATTGACCTTAGTAAATGTAATCACTGTTTTTCAAAAAACTGTTGTCTACATTACGATGGTGTACTTATAATATAATCATCTTAAACAGTTTTTAAGCAATTCCTTCTTATTCGATAGAAACCGTGACCACCTTAAAAAAACAAACCAAATCGATCTTACTACTTTTTCCTTTCGAAATCGTCCCATGTATCAAATGAACTTCTTTGTTTGAAATTTTGTCTAGAATCACACTAGAATTGTAGGGAATACACAGAGGGACTGTGTTCGGAATGAGAGGATTAGGGAAGAGCTTAATGTACGTCCGGTAACGGAAATTCTGGAGAAGAGGCAACTGAGGTTGTATGCATATATCTGACGTATGGACCATTACAGAAACCCGATCAAAACTATGAAGGTAACACCAATGGTAAGAGGACCAAGAAGACGGCCAAGAACCTCTTATATCACCCACAGAGAGGGAAGACTTTAGGAGAAATAATAAACCTTGCCAGTGACAGAAACGGATGGAAACGATAGCTAAAAGCACTCTAACGCTGAAAGGCAAATGGATGGAAGAAAATGAATAAGAGTTTGGCCAACAAGAACTGAGACACCCTGTATATTAAGATTTTTCTTAGATTTAGTTTATTTGATGCAAAACATAATAAAAATATTGAAAGTGTAACTTACATTCTTTACTTACAAGAATGACCCAATAAAGAATATTAATATCAGTAAAAATACACAACAAATAACCTATTTTGTAAAATTAAAAAAAAAACAGATAAACTGCCTAAATATAAGAAATCAAAGAAAAATCGGGTGCGGTGAGCACATCACACAATTTTCACTTACCATCCTCTTCTTAGGAGAAATACGTATTTCAGACAAAGGAAAACGAAAGTAAAAATTATTGACGCTATATTTATATATATTTCATTGTGGGTATTTTTATTTGTATAAGTACCCTCATATATACAAATTTTAATATTTACATCGCTGTAATATATACAATTAAATATTAAATAATACCAACAATAGCATTTATGAAAACCGCATATGTATACATACTATTTTCTGAGTCCGTATTATATTAAGCTCATGTTACTTATGGAAGCCTATTCTAATTTTCCGGACGAGCTGGGGGGCGCTTGTATTCCTTTGGTCCCTTAATTACAACTCTTCTACGTTACTATCTCTTATTTCTCCTTTAGTTAATTATCAATTTTTTTCATATTTTATAGTTAACTATTTTTTATATTAGAGATTAATGTGAAATGGTTAATTGTTTCAAATAAAAAAAATTAAATGTACTTTAGGGGAAGCTAATATTGAAAATTAGCTATTTAAGTCTGGAAGTTATATAACATTATTTCTCAAAATAGGATTTCGATTAAAATCCTGAAGAAAAAAAAAGCATTAGCTCCACACCTCTCCAGTACATTCACTCCTCATCCGGAATCCCATCCCTCCCAAACTGAAAAATTGCAAGAATTCCTTTTTTCACCAATCGCACTCTCCTTACCACCTAAAGTATTCCTTCTCACGGGCGGATCTACGAGGGGGGGGGGGCTTTCGGACTGAAGCCCCCCCTCCCCCCAAAATGGAAAAGTATAACCATGTTTTATGGGGAAAATTTTTTAAAAATACCTCTTGAAGTATTATTGTTCGTGCAATTACATTTAAAAGTACTTAAGGAATACCTTAAACACCATTTCATATAGGTAGTTAGTTTCTTTCTGTTTTTCCAAAGTAATTATCGTTATTTTTAGGAAAAAAAAAGGTTTCGGGCTGAAGCCCCCCCCAAAATTAAATCCTGGATCCGTTAGTGTTCCTTCTGATCAATCCTTCTGAGACAAATACCTTTTACGTAAAATCATTCCTCGCATATATCCTGGATACGACCTCCTAACCCTACTGATGCTTCGACAACTTGCACACAAAGCTGAGATATTCCTTAAATATATATATAACTGGTGAACTACCCACGAACTACCTATTTCCCTCTCTAATGAAAACATTCCACCATCGTCCTTTTCCTAAAAACCAAGCAAGCCTTCCAACAATACGTCATCCTCCATAGACCAATTAGTTTACTCCCAATCTTGCAAAAAATTTTGCTACCGAAAAGAATTCTACCCATAATAGCATCCCGAAAAATCCCTACCCATCAATTCAGATTTTGTTCCCAACATTCCATTGTCCAACAAGGACTCTGAGTTGTTGACCATATATCCTCATCCCTAGAAAAGAAGCAATATTGCTCGGGTGCATTTCAGGACATAGCTCAGGATTTTGACTGGGTATGGCACGCCGAATTACTCTTCAACCTTAAATTTTACCTACCACAGTTGACGGCGTTTTGGGTCCCATCCTTTACATTCTTTTTACCTCAGATATGATGTCCATCCCGATACCTTCCTACCGATATAACCTTCTGGCAACATTCGCTGATGATACCGCTATTCTTTCAACCAACTCAGTTGGCCTCTGGCTTTCATGGAGTGCGGTTGTACTGTGGAGTTATTCGGACTGTTTTTATATTTCATTTATTCATTTTATTTCATGTATTTTGTCTTCTTTTTTTTTTTTTAAATGTAATTAATGAAACCCGGCGAAGAATTAAGTGATTCGCCCGGTGTTTCCCTCACTACTAAAACGAACGTAGACCAACATACGGACGAATCCTGTTCTAAGAAGAGAGTTCATGAAGCTATTGATTCACCTCAATCCCGATCACCAGTTAAAAAAATGGGCAAGTACTACCAGGAAATCGCTCCAATTAAAGTAAGCAATAGCTTTAATCATCTTACTGAAATTGACCTTTCATCCGATAAGCACACTACAGCAAGTACTAGTTATAAAAATAACCCAAATGTTCAATCCAATGATATTAGAATACCACCGATATTTTTACACAATGCTAACAATTACAGACTTCTATATGTAATTTATATAGATTACCTATATATAAATGACCTAAATGCATTATTTATCGGACCATTTAATACGCAACTGGCCGGTAACAACACAAAAATAATGTTATCAACCATTGAAGA